TTTTCAGAGATTTCTTTACATTCAGAACTAAACCATCGTCATTGTTACTTTGATTGGCTTCCGACCATATGTTGACTACTCCTTCAAAATCTCAATTGAAATGGTTACTTACACCTTATTAGTCCGGTAGACACTGCGCATCAGTGAGCATCGACAACAATTACAAATCTTAGATGTAAATTACAAGTCTTGGTAACATAATATTGACATTCAAGGCTCTAGAGATTGCCTTTTACTGGATGATTAACTTAAAGCTTTTCCACAAATCTTCCTCTGCAATTTTTTTTCAGTTTTTTGCTTTTTCTAAAAAAACATGAGCTTTTTTTTACTATCTCTGGTTTCTAGAGAATGTTTTACACCAACATTTGTGAATTGAAAATAGTTTTAATTCTTTACGATGGCTAGCGATAACTTTCTTATTACATTCAGAGCTTCAAAAAATGTTTTAGTCAGCAAACTTTTTGCATCTAGTAGATGGCGCGCTTCACTGTGCAGCGGTGGTAAAGTGGTTACGTCTCCGCCTTTCAATCGAAAGGTCGGATGTTTGAGGCCCACCATGATCCGTGCTCGTTACTTGAGGGTGAGGCAATATTATCCTGCCCCGAAAAGAAGTTGCATATCTTAACCAGTGGCGCAACAGCGGCTCTCCGTGAAGAGCTGAAATGCTCGTATGTTGGTCCTTTCCCTTATGGATAAATCGTCTTAACTGGAAATGTCACCCTTTTAACCATTCCGCAAAAACTCCTCAAAAAAATCTGGACTTTCTTTTTTTTCTGTCGTCTTTTTAATAGTTCATGGCGCTCAATCACAACTAAAAACTTATAAAAACTACTACATATGTTTCGTTTGTGATCTTCCAGTCATTTCCACAGTAAAAACTTTTGAGAAAGATTGGCAGTAAAAGTCGATAACCCAGGTATACTTTTGAGATACCAAGCACAAAAAAGTAGTTATTTCAAGTTATTTCATTTTTCTCCTTATTATTTCCTTTTTACCCCCATCAAAAAAGTGTGCTTTAACGCTAAAGCCAAAATATCTTTCACAAAAACTTTTCAGCGAGTCGGCCACATAATGACATTTTCTTTATTGTTAAAAAAATATGCACGAATTTAAAAAGTTTACATCGCAAGGTAATGCGCAGAATTATCGTACCAAATAGAGAAAATCAGCGATCAGTCCCTCCTCTTGAATTCTTTTCAGGAGATGATATAAAAAACATTCCGCTTACAGAATTGCAAATTAAAGATTTTACTGTGATTTGAATTTCACAAAGACACATATTTGAAAGAAGCAAAAAATTGTTACTCTACTCAGCAGAAAATCTGGATGGTTTTCATATGACTTTCTTCTAGTACCTGTGCTTGTGAGAAATTCAAATCACAAAATTTTTAGTATGCAATTCTGTGGGCGGAATGTTTTTTACAGCGTCTCCTAAAAACTGACTTAGAATAGCAGAGATTAATTGCTGATTTTCTCTATTTGGTACGATAATTCTGCGCATTACATTGCAATGTAATTTTTTTAAAATTGTGCAGATTTGTTTAACATTCGAAAAAAACTTGTGTAACGCCGTCATGATGTGGCCGACTTGCTGAAAAGTTTTTCTGCTGAGGAGAGCAATAAATTTTTGCTTCTTTCAAAAATATGCGCCAGGCTCCAACCAGAGACCAATTCACGAGTAACATGCATGAGGAGATACTCCTTTAAAGATTGTTTAAACTAATTTTGACTAGCTTTGGTAAGTAGGTATACTAAATCATCAAAAAAGAGGTAAAAACTTTAACGATTGAACGGAAAAAAAAAACTGAATTTAAATTCGGAGAATTCAAAAAAACTGGACAAAATCAAAACTTAAAACAGCCGGAGATTTTTGAGCAGTATAATCTGTGATCGGATTGTTCTGTTTTACTGGGGGAGCGATAGTTTGTGTTTTTTTGTTAAGTGGCAGAAGTTTCCGAGCCTTAAGTTTTATTTAACAAACTTCGTTAAATAATCTGAAAGATTTCAGCAGCTCTTGCTGAAATCAAGCTGCTGAAATCTTTCAGATTATTTAACGAAGTTTGTTAAAGAACTTTTACCAGTCTTTTTTTAAAAACAATTCGGGTTTCGAAATTGTTCATTTTGATAAATTGCAATTCAATACTGGAATTCAATATTCCAGTTTTCAACCAAAATGTAAAGATTTCCACGGCTCAGAATATAATCCAAATTATTTTAAATTACTCTTTCTGATATAAAAATTAGAAGAGCCGTCTTATTCTTCTGGAAGAGTTGTCTTAATCTATTTTCTAATGGGCGTGTCGAGCGGACTTTCACAACAGATTTTGATTTTTTTTAATAAATGTTGAATCAACATTTAAATCGATTGCTTCAAACAAAAATCGAGATTTTAAAGGATGAGAGCCGACTGTTTGAAATCTATTGGAATAAAACCAACCGTTTGGAAATAAAGCTACTGAAATTGAAGAAAGCGACTCGTAGATGGGTGAAATCTTGAAGATTTCGACTGCTTTTACCTAGTTTTCAGAAGTTGTCAGAGAAATCGAATTGAAAAATCTGTTTTTGTTAGCTCCATAGCACAAAACAGTTCAAATAATTGACCAAACACAATTATTTGCAAGCTGAAACGAGTGGTTACTTCCTCATTAATTTATATGTCAAAAAAAGGATATGATAAATGCAGGTAGTTATTTTTATACAAACCCATTAAATAGTCATTAGACAAGACAATTTGAGTAACAATTAGCGTGCCCAAGTTCAATTTGGAATGTTTTATAAGTCTGCATATTGGTCAGTTTAAGCAATGGGCATTATGGATAAATTGATAAATGGCACGCTGTAATTAAACCTAATTGGCAACTTTCAGTCCAGTTTACTGAAAAACTATCAAAAGAGTATGTCTTTGAGCATTAAAAACTAAACCTCAAATACTAAATTATGCAGAAAAACACCAAAAAAAATGTGCAATTGTAGAAAAATATTCTGATCAACGTCCTTTTACCTCTCAAGAAACTTAGCTGAACCACTTTTGGCATAGAACAAGAACAGCATTTAGGATTTTCAAAAATTTCTCAGATATATCTTTTTTTTGCTACAAATTGTTCGCTTTAATAAGTAAAACGCACAAAGAGCCAAAACAGAGCTTCCTATCACTTGCGATACAACGCAAAAATAAAAAAAAATCAGAAAAAAATGTTGAAAAAAACAAGAACCAAAACTTCCGTATGTCTCAATAAAACGATAACTAGGGGCCCAGCTAAAGCTGAAGGTAGGTGTTTTGATAACTTTGTTATACTAATGAAAGATAAAATGGGCAAAATTGGACTTTGCACAACACCTCTGTTGTTTTTCTACTAAAACGAAAGATAAAGGTATAAACTTATGAGAAATTGAAATATTCCCAATGACACAACAAATTTTCTTAGGACAAAATCAAGGAGACGCAAAAACAAGGTGGTAGCCGCGCAGGCCGTGAAAAATTCTAAAACCATCTTTCTCGATTGAACACTTAACCAGCAGGGAATTTTCATTTAGCAGGGAATTTTCCCACAATCCGTTCTTTGGGTTGAATCAAAAATGTTTAGATTTGGGCGGCTAGTTTTCGAGAAAACTCAAAAGGAGTAAAAAAAAACATTAATTTTTTTTCTGAGGGCCTAAATTTTTGAGTAGAAACAATATGTAGTCTAACTGTTGGGTTTTAAAAAAGGTAAATTGGTAAAAGATCATGCATGGGAGCTTCCCAAAACCAGTTGTTCCGAATGAAACCAAAACTTAACGCTTTATTCGAATTTATTATTAAGCCAGCAATTAAGAAAAAATATTAAAAGATTAATACATCTGGCAGATACGCCGACGAAATCTGGGACGAAATTCATGAAGCCGACAACAAAATAATATTAAGCCTGAAAAAATCACAGTAACACACATTGCAGCCAGTACATAAAGCTGAATATTCATGAAATTGAGCATGTCAGCAGCAATTGATTCAACTAATTTTGTTGAACTAATTGTTAATCCAAAAAAACAGTCTACATTCCGATTTGATTACCCTCGCTTATCTCAAGGTAATGAAGATGTCTTGATTCGGTGAATAATACCGGAAGATAGATGTTTTTCACTTTTTGACTGTTTCACGCTCACCTCTTCGTTATTTAATCAGAGTCAACATTTGACGTGCTTATTATGCAAAACATTTTAAGTGCCTTTTTGAAATTCAATTCAAAAAGTTCGAAATGTCAATTTCATTTTGCACTTTTAAAAATGGATTCGTTTCACCAAGATTTTGGGTGAAAAAAATTCTTGAAAGCAATTTTTGAATTGACTGACTTTTGCTAATGATATTTTGAAAGATCTGTATTTCATAGATACATAGCTTATTAAAGGTTTTGCAAAATTATTATAAAACAATTAGAGCTTTCGTTGAAAATGATTGTCGCGCTTGGAAGAAAACAGAAGTTCCCATGAAGAAAATGAACAATTTGATAATTTTGCTGATTTACCTTGATTTTGCTGCTTTTTAAAAAAAAAAATAAAGAATCGAAAACAAATCTCAAAACTTTGCTTTTTCAAATTTAAGCGCCAAGCTCCAATCTGGAATCAATTCACGAGAGTCAAGCAAAAATGCAATTAACTTAATGCCTGTAAACTGGCTAAGAAAATGCTTCAAGAATAATTAAGCTACTTTTGACTAGTTTTTGATGGGTAGATTCCCTCCGTCCCCAAAAAAGCGACAAAAATAGAAAAAAACTAACAAAAAATTCGCGTCTTTAATGGCGCTTTCATCTCAAATTCAGTGTATTTTGACACTTTAACAAAAATATCAGGGTTGGTCGGCCAAGAATTGAAGTCAAACAATTCCAAAGAAGAGAATACTTTCGGCTAAAACGCGCTCTCTAGGTTAATAACGTTTTTACATGGTTGACTGAGTAATATTTTGGTTAACGTCAAGAAGAGAAGTTTAAGGCTAATTAACATTTTTAGATTCGTGGGCCGAAAAAGATTTATTAGTTCAAACAATTTATCCAAACATCACAGCTGATTAATTTGTTAAAATTTCATGGAGCTTTATTAGTACCAGGTCTCGGCAAATTCTGCAATAAACAAGTCAAAGTTTCAATATGTTTGTTCATTCTCGAGTTCAGCTCCGAAATCGATTTCTGTTCGGACTGCAACAGAAGCGCCGCAACTCTTTTTTGCAACGCTTCGCTGTTTTGCACATTTTTCGACTGCTTGTCGATTGCTTCGTGAACAGAACTGCTGATAACTTTCATCATCTCTTTGTTGAGTTTGTTGTTGTTGCTATCATTAGTGGGCTTTGTTGACGGTTCCGCCCATTTAATGCCCTGGTTCTTTCCTTTTTGGAATCTAGTTAGCAGTCCCAGTCTACTTAATTTTTTAAAATAACGAACGCTTGATGTTTATGATAAAAAATGGGACAAAATGACAGTTGTGATCAAATACCCTTTTCAGTTTCGCTTTCTTCCTATTAAGTCTTTATTGACAAACAACGTTTAAAAATTCCTTTAAGATAATTGTCAAATATGGATATTGTAATAATTGAAAAGGCGTTTGACAGATATTGGGTGGCCGGATTCCACAACACCCCCTTCACACAAATAACCAAAGAGTGCCAGGCGAACTTGCCCTTCAAGCCTAACTAGCTTTGTGACCAAGATTTAGATAGTAATCAGTGGCAAGCGCAGTCATTTTTCCAGGGGGTCAACATTTTCTTAGATAGAACAAATTGTTTTTTCCAGCGCTCTTAAAACGCTAAGACCCGTTTTGAGTGTTTTTAGAATGTTTTGACCCAAAATCACGTTTCCTCCTCCCCCCCCCCCCCCCCCCCCCAAAAAAAATAGTGTATATTGGCAAAATTTGGCAACCAGTTTAGGTGCGTTGGCACCGACCCCCTCAGCACTGCAGATTGTTATCTAGATGCCTTTTTTGTTGATATTTTCGAGGCTGTCGCAGTGGATGCTGTTGTTGTTTCCCCTCAGTTTGATGTTATTTCTGAGTGTCTCCAGATTGCATTGTTGTTGCATCACCACCGCCCTGCTCACACTCAACTCCTGCTCCAACTCCCCCCTCCCACTCTGCCCCACATCTCCCTTGTCCACAAAACGCTAAACAAGGTGTCATGCATAAAGTTGCGATCTCTCCAAAAACACTCAAAGAATTCTCATTCTAACAGGGTCTAACTTACGTTCTACAACAGCGTGGCCGATTTTAAAATTCGAGACGCATTAACGGTACCGCACTCAACGCAAAAACCAAGACTAGACCGTTATCATTTTTTACAAACTGACTTTAATTAATCAGACTAGCTACCCTTAGATGACCCACCCTATTCGATTCGCAGGATTGAAATTTGACCCAATATTGCAAAATAACAGCTCCTGCTCAAAGGATTGTTGAATAGAAGTTAAAACTGAATCCGAGCAAGGAGGTCTGCTTGCGACACAATAGGAAAATTAACAGTTGTGGGCTCTTTTCCAGTTCCCAACCTCCGTTTTTTTTGACCCGACATCCCCTCTCGATTTTTAATGTGGTTGCGACAAATTGAATGTAGTGAGAAAATATCCCAGCGCGACTCTTTGTCACCCCTCTTCTAAATCCGTCCCTAGCTGGCGTTATTTGCAGCATTTATATTCACAAGGTTTTATCCGGGTTATTTCCTGAAATGGTGATATACTTACCATTAGGACTAGTTTCAACCAGTTTAATACAAACTTATAGTTCCGACCGTCGCCAGTATGGGAAGAAGCTTTAGCTCATTTTAGCTCTTTTCCGCTAAAATCACCCCACCCCCTGCGCATATTTGAAACGTTGTCGTAATGCAATGAAAATTAGTATGGTGAACAAACTAACTGGTGAAAAGTAAAAATTTGAAATGAGGGGATTGCAATAGAGTCCTGTTTTCCCCCACTTGATTCCAGAAACCTCGAAACAAAATTGTAGAGAGCTCTTGTATCAATTTAAAACGTTTTAAGACGTGATTCGGGCTCCATAACCAAACAGACTTCCTGGATTCATTTAGAGGCATTTTATATCATTTCTTACATGCAAAACACCGAGTGAAAACTTTTTTGAACGTCTGAGTTTTGTAATTTTACGAGGGGTGGGAAACTGGAAAGAGCCCATTTGTGAAATCGCACATTTCAACAGTTAATGCCTCTAAATGAATCCAGGAAATTTGTTTTGTTTTGGAGCCCGAATCACGTCTTACAACGTTTTAAATTGATACAAGCGCTCTCCAATTTTGTTTCGGGGTTCCTAGAATCAAGTGGGGAAAAATCAGGACTCTATTGCACTTTCAAATTTTCATTTTTCACCAGTTAGTTTCTTCACCATACTAATTTTCATTGCATTACGACAACGTTTCAAATATGCGCAGGGGGGCGGGGTGATTTTAGCGGAAAAGAGCTAAAATGAGCTAAAGCTATAGCTTCTTCCCATACTGGCGACGGTCGGAACTATAAGTTTATATCAAACTGGTTGAAACTAGTACTAATGGTAAGTATATCACATTTCAGGAAGTGACCCGGATACAACCTTGTGAATATAAATGCTGCAAATAACGCCAGCTAGGGACGGATTTAAAAGAGGGGTGACAAGGAGTCCCCCTGGGATATTTTCTCACAAGATTCAATTTGTCTAAAGGCGCAACCACATAAAAAAATCAAGAGTGGATGACGGGTCAAAAAACGCCGTATGTTTGGTGGAAAATTTCCGAGAAAAGCTCAAAAACCTTAAGACGACTAATCGTATCAGGCGACGATTAGTAACAAGTGAAAAATAGGTAAAAGGCGTCAATGTGCAATGAATAAGAAATGTTCCTATAGGGGATTTTAAAAATTCGTTTCATAAGTGAGTGTTATGAGCAATAATTATTTGCGTTCCCCCTGTTAGCTGTATATAAACTCAGGTGCAAGAAAGAACAATAATGCGCAGTTGATCCTTGATTTACCATCGTTTCAGTTGAAAGTCAATTTGGCTACATTTAGTCAGCGGCTCCGTAAAAATAAATTTCAATTGAAATAATTGCATTAATTATTGATTTTCGTTTCTCAAAAAATAAAACAATTGATTTTGAACATACTACAATTGCAATAATTTATTGCGGCAACTAAAATAATTGCAATTATCAGATTTAACTATAATCCAGTTATAGTCCAAAATTTCACCGACCTTACGCCCTAAGAACGGGATGCCATCAAAGTATTCAAAAAAAAATAACACCAATGGAACCAACTACTTCCGAAATCTCATTTGCAGAAAAAAAATTGCAAAAAGCGGAGCTAGCTTCAAAAATGATTTGACTTGTACAATTTTGCAATGGTTTCATAATTTTTGGGAATAAAATATTATTACAGTAACTGATTTTCAACTCAAGATAATTGCAATTATTAATTGTAGCCAGAAAAACTACAGAGTAATTGATTTTCAATTGCAAAACTACTGCAATGAAATCAACGGAGCCCCTACATTTAGGCCTCAGATAATAACCAACAGGTACATTAGAACTATCAACTGGAGCTTCCGAACACCGAGTTGATTTGTACAATTGTGCAATGATTTCATAATTTTTGGGGGTAAAAATTTATTACAGTAACTGATTTTCAACTTAGGATAATTGCAATAATTAATTGCAGTCAGAAAAACTACAGAAAAGAACAACTAGTTTTTTTTGAAAAAAAAATTACAAACTGAAATATGTTTTAGCTAATTACTAATTAAATGATGGTAGTTTATTTGAATTTTCAAGATATTGAGCACATCAGAAGTGATATTTACCATTCCTACTAAATTGACCATTCTGTAAACAAAGTTATTTACGAAAAAAAATAATGGACAGCTCCATGTTGCTGTCCATAAAATTTGTGGTTGACTATAACAACTACCAGTTTTGAGTGGTCCGTGTGTTTGCTGTGCTGACAATTCCTGCCCACTCTCTCAATCCTGTCCTCTACCGTTCCCACTTGCTGCTGCACAACTGTTAGTCTAGCCACCTCATTAGTAATGTTCGCCAACTCAGTGCTCAGACGCACCTGAAAAACCAATTAGTATGTTGCTTAAATATTCAGGGATAACTAATCAAATAAAGCAAGCAATTGAATATAATATTTGAGACATGTTTCGACTTATTTGACACATGTTGCGACTTATACCTTATCCCAGTCTACCCCAAGTCCTTCCAGCCAAGAGGCGAATTCGGGGGGGGGGGGGGCGGCTACCGTCCCCCTTAGCGACTCGATCCACTGACGACCCAAAAGATCCATTCTTTGGAACTATTTTAAGACCCACTCCAAAACTTTTCTAAAAATTCCAAGGGCCGAGCGCGCGCGCAAAAAAAATTTTTTTTGATCAAATTTAAACAAAAACCATTAGCATTAACAAGGCCTTTTTGGGACTGTATTTTTTCAAAATTACTTTTTTTTTCTTCAAAAATTGCCTGTGGAGCAGAAATTTGGTCACAGTAGGGTCTTCATAGTGATTTGGAAGAACTTTGAAAATCCGAACCTCAAGAAAAACCTAGATCCGTCCTCGTACTAGCCTATGACACTGGCTTTTGGAACAATTAACAGGTTCTAGTTCCAAGTTTTCTTTATGTCAGATAGAAATGGATGCAAACATTTAAAAAAGGAAGCAAAACACGACAAGTTTTACTGAGATTTTCAATATGGAGCTCGCGTAAGTGTCAGGTGACAGCAATCACTCAAGAAGACAGCCCAAATTGCAAGAACAATGTGCATGCTAAGGAAAATTCCAAACAATGAAACAGGACTCTAAGAGAAACAAATTCATGTCGACATAGCAGCACCATAGCAACCTGTCTACACTCCTGCAACGACAAAGGAGCTTTTCAATTGGCTCATCCACTGGTCTGCACATAACAGAGTCTGCAGATAACAGATTCGACAGACGTTTAGAAATTCCCCAGCGGCACGAATATTTCAAGTCTTTTGGACAGTTGAAAAGACGCATTCCATGCGCCAAGCAAGCCTTCCATCGCCGATGAAAAATTCTGCAAATAAAACACTTGCAGACCACTTTCAGCTCGAAATTTAGCTGAAGAGGATTTTATTTTAATATATCACTTGAGACACTAGCATTTATTTGTGGTGTGAATTCAAAAGTTCATACTCAGCGTCTGTGGTTCGAACAAATGTACTCAAGAAACAAGCGTTGAAAAAACCTGCATAAGATCTGCATAAAAAACTGCATAAAACAAGCGTTGAAAAAACCTGGATCGCTTTATGCGGCGAGAGCGAGCTTGAGCAGTCCAATCAATCATGGAAACTTATAGTTTATGGTTCATTTAATTAATTTTTCAATATTGCTTTAACGCGAAAAACTAAAAATTATGTTTTTCCGAAAAAATTGAGCAGTTTGAAGTCCATTCAGATTCGTAGACCCAAAAGTATGTTGCCGACAATATGGCATACATACAATCAACAAACTGACCTTGTCTGTTTTAAGCTGTGACCTCTGACCTCTGAGTCTCTCCACTACTTTCATGTGCTTCTGCTTCGTATCTTCAATCTCTCCTGTTGCCAAAAAATAAATTAGAGAACGTTAAAACCTTTAATCATATTTCAAAATTGACATTTTTAACATTTGGATCACAAAAATTTTTTTTACATTATTCAAAATGCTGTAGCATTCGTCAAGAAGCGAGGTAACACATTCTTTATTCGGTTTGTGAAAAAAAAACGAATAACTACCAGCTATGAGCTATTTTCGAGCTTTTTCCGCTTCTGAACTATGTCTCTACAAAAAAAACCCATAGGATCCCATCCCATGTTTCCTTGGATAGTTGAATCTTTTCAGTAAATTTGATTTCATCGTTTTTTATAAGTTTTCTAACTATCACAAGTTTATCGAGGAGGACGATCCACACCTATGTGGTATACCGCAACTCTCACCTCTAACAGTGTCCAAAATATGGAGCGCATGTTTCAACTGTCTCTCTATGTCCAGTCGCTTCTGCTTCTCACAGTTGGCCATGGTCTCATTCTGTGCCATAGTATGGTCCACGTGGTACTCTATTGCACTAGCTAGATTGTCTATTTCATCATTGCACTCCGACACCAATTCTTCATCTAAACACTCACGTAACAGCTCGCCGATATTCTTCATTCAAAAACAATCTGAAAAATATGCTAAGCCTGACACGCAAAATTTGACAGTTTTTGCAGTACTCAGATAAAACATTTATCAAAGTCCATAATGATTGAACTGGGGGGGGGGGGGGGTGTGGGGGATATCTGCTTTTTAGTTCGACCAGAAAGCGTGGTACGTTTCCTGTCACTTATCGGGGAGAAGGGCATAGGCATAGAAACATGGAAAAGTTGTTCGATCTACCAAGCAGTGGACAGTGTACACTTGGAGAAGTTATAAGGACAGCTTTTAAAAGTTCCATCAATAAACCAGTTTCCATAAGAGTTTAAGATTTCGATATTTCTGTTGGTTGCGGACACCAAATATCGTTTACCGGTTCCCGGAACTGTCGAATCTTCAAGAAGAAAGTCTTCTCCACTCATGGTTTGCATGTATTTAACAGGCAGTTCAAAATCGAATCCTGTTGGGATCGGTGGCTGGCTACGGTTTTTATTTCTGATTCTTCTGATCCTTCGTTTGAGGTGACGCACCACCGGCATCTTCGAGGAGCATTCTGGTGTGGCTTTCGCCAGGGCATTTAACAGCACCTTTTATGTCGAAGAGTCGGTCGCTGCAGGCCGCTGCGTCCGCTTTGATCTGTTCGTTAATGGTATACGTTTCCATTAAGGCGTAGTCCGGGCCGTGTGCGTGCTCATGTGAGGACGATTTGAGGAATTCGCCCCATGAAATCCATATGCTTGCCTTACATTGTTGCTTTGATCGGCGCAACCCTCACTACCACTGAATAAAATTGACCAACTATCTTTTCTTATAGTAAGCGTAGTTGTTGTGAAGCGCTTTCTGGCCCCCTTTGTTGCTTAACACAAATCTGACTAATATTTTGCATTGTTATTGTTTCGAATGAGTCGGTACTTAATAATGCACGTATTTTACAAACTGAACAAAATTTTGCGTCAAGAGGCAAACGTTTAATTGCTAATGGGGGGATTAAATTGCGACCACGCAAACTGGTATCACACCTGTTTGACTAATCGTTTTGCTGGGACTATATCGGGTGTTTATTTGTTTATCAGTCAACATAAATTAACGTTAAATTAAGTTCAAAATTATGTTCAAATGTCATATTTGTCATATTTGGGATACGCACTCACGCTGAAGGAGTCAACAATATTTTCCATTCACTTGTCGTACTGACTGCGCCACGTGGCTGAATAATTTTTGCAATCAAAGCTCGTTCTTATAGGAAGTCAACTGAAAGTTGGAATCTTAAAGTTGCTGAAAAGTCACGTCAAAATGGCGATGCATGATTAAATGGAAGTCAATTCAAAACGGAATCAATAGAAACAATAAATAATGTGTACAATTTGGTTTCCATCATACTGAATAAAATATGGGGATTTTGTCCTAGGGGGATTTGGTCCTATGGGGGATTTAGTCCCGGAGGATTATAGGCTCTTTTTCCTCCCCCCCCCTCACACGACCTTCAATATATTAGGGTAACGAGTGGTTTTACGAGGTTGAGTATGAAAACCAAATATGTTTGTCGTGGCCTTATTAGTCTGTATGTAAATTTTCATAGCAATCGGACAATGTAGTCAACAAATTTACATGTAAAAATTTGCAGGTGGGGGGGAAAGGAAAAAGAGCCGGATTATATCCGGTGGGATTTTATCCTGGGGGATTTAAACCGGGAGAGCGCGGAAAATCCTATACACACGCAATTATTCAGCCCTTTGCAGGATTTTCCCCAATTTCGAGAGTTCTTTCCCTGGCTAAACTTTTCTTGGGTTGTTGGTGCGAATGATATTTTCAAATCTCCTGCGCTGAATGTTTAGAGCAGTGGAGTATGTTTCAAAGAAAACTGAAAGTATTCCAATCTCGGAATGTTTCCTATTAAATCCTTCAGCAAATTACACCTGTTCGGCTTTAATTTATTGTCACAATTTAGATCATATCTCACATTTGAAACTATCAATTCGAATCATCAGCAAAATTTTCATTTTCAAAGTCAAATTTAAGTAGTAACAATGCATTTTCAGAAGCTGCGTTTGTCATAAAATCACTCATTGTCAGCTGTGGATTCCTCGACAACTCGTTTTGAAAAAGTTCGTTCAAAACGTCTATGCAAACTTGGCGCCATTTCTTTACTTCTAACTCGAATCCCTCGACAGTTTGCGTGGCAGATAATTTCTTGAAATTTTCCAGTTTTTCTAGAGTCATTTTCATCGTTTTGTGTTTCAGTTTCAGCGATTGGAGAGACTCATTTTGCAAACTGGAGTCCATTCAGGCAGTCAGAGTCAAACTTAATGCCATTTTAATTTCTGAAAAATCAATGGAACAAGATACCGGTTTAACATAGAGACGAAGTCGAGCTTCGCATTAATTGCGATGCAGCAAACTGTATTTTAAATTCAGATAAATAATTAAATGACATAAATAGTAATTTTTAAAGCAATAAATATTTAAAAAAATTACATAAAAAAGTTCAATATGATTGCACTCAACATTTTAACCGTGACTCTAATGTATTGAATTCTTTGAGACTAGCAAGGAAACTTTTGTAAATCGATGAAATCGTGAACACTGTTAACCATTGAAAAATTCTGTTCAGTGATTTTACAAAAATCCGTCGAAGAAATATAAAAAACACGCCAATTTAAAATTGCTGGAGTAAAAAATGTTAGCTATGAAAGTACTAATTTATAAATCCAAAAACATTCTATTATCCATCCTTTGCTTCAAAATAAATTAAGTTTTTATAGCCATAAAATCTACATAAAAGTAAACTTTCATTTACTTTTAACGCTTTACTCGCTCGAAATTGAACTAAAAATAAAGTCTCGGCACTGCAGCAATTTTTTTGAAAAAACTTTTATCACTGAAATTGATTTAATTTGGTATACCACTCGACCCGTTCCGATGATTATTTGAAGTGACTCATTTGGCGTGAAAAAAAAACTAAAAAAACACGAACACATCACCATTTTCAATTGCAGAAAAACAAAAAACACTCCGATGGATAGCCATCAAACTGTATAAAGAATGCACACCATTGATGTACTCAGGGGCGGATTTATGGGATGGGGTTTGGACGCTTCCCTCCCCCTTCAGGGATTCGACCCCCTACCGACCCAAAGGGTACCCCCTTTGTACAATTTTGAGATATCCATATTTGGTGACGGACCCTAAAAATTTTCTAAAGGCGCCTTTCGCGCCAATATATACCAATTTTGAGGAGCGCGCGCCAAAAAACGCGATTTTTTGGTCGAAATTTTCCAAAAATTGCCTAAAAACGTTTTTTTTTAGCCTGTTTTTCAAAATTTTGCCTGCGGCAAAGAAAAATTGACCAAAACAGGGTCTTCTTAGTGATTTTGGAGAGCTCGCGGAAAATCAATTTGGTCACCCTAAAATGATTTCACATTTCGAAAATTACCAAGATTTCAGCAGTATTATTTGATGGCAATATTCCCAATCTTTGAAAGTACTCTGACAGCACACATCTACAGGGTTGGGAATTTCACTTTGGTGAAGTAATTTGCAATTTGAGTTTTCTGATAATTTCCAAAAAATCACAAAAATCGTCTTATCTCTTAAACTAAAAATATTTAGGCATTCCTAATTGGAGGCCAAATTTGCAACCCCTGAGATTACTCTGACTGCCCCCAACTACAGGTTAGGAATTTCAAACTACAAGGACTCTGACTGCCCCAACTACAGGTTAGGAATCACGAAAACTACAAGGATTTGAGAATTGAGAAATGGAGGCAAGAATCGCAACCCCTGAGAGAACTCTGACAGAACCCAACTAGAGGGTGAGGAGAATTTCAAAAACTGAGAAATTTTCCCGCATTTAAACATATAATAGATAGATAGATGAAATTTTAAAAATTAGGAGACGGGTAGACAGACAATCATATCAATTAAAAAAGCAGGTAAACAGACAGAAAAAATTACTGAAAATTAATGACCTTGCGGAAAGCTAATTAAAAATTTTCTTCAGCATTGCAATATATGATATAGCTTAAACATGAAAAAACTCCTTCGTTAAACATGCAAAATTATTATGCTTAAACATGGGAGATAGCTGTCACTCGCATTTAAATATAGTATAGATATAGATTTCACAATAAAGCAATGTTAATATGTTACACAGTTGTAAAAGTTGTTTCCGAGAAAAAGTCTAATAACCGACATAAAGTCTAATATTTTTTCAGCTTTGTGAATACTGAATCTAATTGGCTGATGTTACTTTTGCAATTCGCTCGTTTTGCCATGAGGGTTTCCCTCTCCTGCAGAAAGTTCCAAAGAAACCACTTGAAAAACACCCGGTTACTGTTGTACATTTAACGCAGAGTTTCCTGCTTTGTTTTCTTTCAACTTTTTTTTATTATGAAAACAAGAGCTATGTAAACTGTTTCATGCCAGCTGTATGTACACTATTATGAAACTTAACGCACAAGTTGAGCCTTATTTTGTGCGAGTTAGCTTGAGAAAAACATAAACTCGTAATAGTAATATAACCTAATAAAATATATAATCTAAGCTGCTTGTGTAGTATAACTTGCTGGCCACAAGATTTTGCAGCACCAGCAACAATAAAGCGGATGAAACACATTCCATTGATTTGCCATGTAGAATTAGAGCACTACAAAGATATTAAAATTGAGTTAATTTGGAAAAAAATGGGGGTTTGAAAAATACCAATATGAGATCAATAATGCGAGCGAAACATCAGTTTTCTAAAGGCGCCTAGCATTTGGGGTGAAAAACTCTGGATTAAAAATAAATCTATATTTAGTGAACGCATGCGAATTAATCCAAATATACTTTAAGAAAATGAGAAAATTATTAGTTTCTATTTTGTTGGATTTTAAAATTTATTTCAAATTATCGAAATTTAAGCTTGAATTTTTTTCAAGTATTCAAAAGACCAGCCTCAGCTTTTTTGTTATGAATATTGCGCAAGCATACACTGCATAAAGACCACTACAAGAAGTTGGGCTGTAAAATTTGCGGCTTCGGTTGGAAAAGTCAACTCGTATTATAACACAAGCATTTGTTTGTGTAAATAAAGGAGGGCGATTCTCGATGAAACTAATTGCTATGTTGGGAGTAAAGAAAAAAACCACGCGCATTTTTCGAATTTCTTTTTTGAACTATTGAAAGAATAGAGAAGCCAGGAAATCAAACAGCATTTAGAATTTTGGGTGTTCAATGATTGGTGGCAGATGTAAGAGAAATATGAACGATGGATGGGAATTCTAATTTAATTATAAAATAATTCACTGAAGTCAACAAGCCAATGCGACCAAGTTCAAAAACAGTATCAAAAAGATGATACTTTGGGTGGCATAAGGAATCGAATTCCTGGCTAAGTTTGAGCACCCCCCCCCCCCAACTCTAAAAATCCTCTACAACGTGCAACAGCCAGAATTCTAAGTTGGAAATACAACGGGTGAAAACTTTTAATTTATTCACAGGAAAGATGGATTAAATCAACAGATCATCAGTATGCAAACTGCAAAACTGACCTGTGATAGATAATAGACTCTCGATATTAATTGCTTAAAATTAATTGAATTAAATTAATCGGCATCATTGGAGTATAACAATAATGGCAGCTAGCAACACTGTTCGCTGCAGTACATGACAAACAAGGGGTTTTTCGGGTCACTCGTTTTACCCAGACAGGCGTTGAAGCATCCAGGTCTCCCACACCTCGATCGCCTCGCTCCAAATCTGCCCGGGTTCAGTCGAAGTCTCCTCGGCGTGAAGAACTCGCCACTATCGTCGTCTTGTCGAGCCAAGACTTCGCTTAGAATCAACCCAATGACACAACATAGGACGATACAGGTGAAGTTGACTTTACAAAGTGCTCCCATTTTGATTAACTTGTTTTCGATTGAATTATATATATATACGAAGTCTCGTTGCGGGCTGTATGAAAATCAGAATAGATGGTGGTATCGATTGGTTAGTATAGTTTGTAACCGGTTTTCTCGTCCGTTGAGCTCAACTGCTTCAAAATAGAAGGAAATTTAATGAGCTTCGTAAGTTCTAAACAAAGAATTTCTAATTAAACTAGTCGCTGATGACATTAGTCGAAGCTTCCGATAGAAGCCATACCGTTTCCTTTGAAATAGATAAAGGAATTGAGCAGGGAGATAAAAATTGTTTAGTAGTCGCGACTTTTGATTAATTTTTTTTCAAACAATTTTAGTTTTTTTTTTACGTAAGTAAACAAGAAAATGGCTGAATTCTAGTTCTTAGGTGAAATATTATTTTCACTCGGTCAAAATCTATCGTTAAAAGGATATATACGGAGAGGAAAAAAACACAATTAAGAATAATGGCCGGCGTAATCAGTTTTCGCCAGAATGGAAATCAAAGATCAAATTCGTCCACTTAATTAGAATATTGGTACGTGAATTGGAATTGGGGCACTTTTCAGGCTATTGAAAATATCGTCAGCTCCTCTAGCGGATCTTTTCCACTCCCCCCACATTTGAACTTATGAAAAACTAATTGTACGTCGTCATAATGTGATGAAATTTTGCATGGTGATCAAGCTAACTATTGCGAACATATTTGTTCAGGGGCGGATTTAGGGGTGGGGGGGGGGGGGGGAATGGACGCTTTCTTCGGCTCTTTTTCCTTCCCCCCCCCCCCCACCTCACTCAAACATGAATTTTATGGTCTAACGAGCGGTCTTACAAGGTTAATTATGGAGATCAAATATGTTTGTCATGGCCTAATTAGTCTACATGCCAATTTTCATGACAATCGGACAAAGTGAACAGTAACTTCAAATATAAAAATTTGCAGGTAGGGGGTAAAGGAAAAAGAGCCCCCTCTTTCTCAGTAAGTCGACCCCTGCCGACCCTTCGGCACCAATATATACTAATTTTGAGGTGGAGCGCGCGCCAAAAAAAACGCGATTTTTTTGTCAAAATTTTCCAAAAAGTGCCCGAAACGGCTTTTGACCTGTTTTTTCAAAAACTTGCCTGCGGCGCAGAAAATTTGGCCAAAGCAGCGTCTTTTTAGTGCTTTAGGAGAGCTCGGGAAATTAATTTAGACCGCCTAAAAAAAGGTCGTCAAAATTTTCGAAAATTTTTTGAATATCCGCCTCCCTCGAGAAAATCCTAGATCCACCTTTGTATTTGTTAATCATATTTTACATTGTAACATCACGCATTCAGCCATAACATCATGCAGCAAAACAGCTGAGAAAATTAAAAATTTGAAAAAAGGGGGAAGTTGGATAAGAGCATATGCAAAAGGGATTCTTAATCATACTTAACGATAATTTCAAACAATAGCAGTCAATTGCTGTGCTTGTAGCTGAGAAAAATCTGATCACAATTGTAAATGCACAAAGAGTTGAAAAGGATAGAAAAAAAAAGACATTTTCGAGAAACATTTTTTACAAAAACTCGTTAATCAATTTACGAGTAATTCTTTTTCACCGAGACAGGTAATAAATCATTAGTATTGACCCTTCTGATAAACTCCCGTGGCGGTTTACAGATCTTTTCTTACGACAACAATTTCCTTAAAACAATTCCCAAAGTCCCAGAGAGCACGACGATACAAGAAATTTACAACGGTACAACACTTAACCCCTAAAAGCTGAAGCAACTCAAAACTGGGCGGAAACAAACGCAAACCAAAGATCTTTAAGCTGTTTTGAAACTGGTCGGATTAATACCATAGTTTTCAAATAATAAATTACACAGAGGTACAGTTGCGCTTCGCAAAAAAAGCTCGATAAAGTGAAAAAAGATAGAGGTAAAAACCAGCCTTCAACATAGAACTTTTGCTGTGGCGAATTTGATCCTACTACCAGTAGATTAAGAGTCCCCTTTCCTCGCATATACGCCACAAGCCCTAGACAATTTACTACACAGAGGCGAAGCTGAGCTTCCCACCTCTTGGGATAAAATTAGATCTATCAAAGCGAGTGAAGATACTTGTGGAAAAAAACATGTCCAGACAATAGATCGCAAAATCATTATCGGAACAAAGCAAACCAACGGTAACAAATCCTAAAATATCTGAGCAGAAACTCTTCATGACTATTTTTTCAAATTCAAAACTAATTTTTAAAAAATTGAGTCCCCTTCCCTTGAGAACACACACACGCGCATAAAAACTTTTTTTCGCTCATCAAACGACCCAATTGAGGCTAGTGAGTCGATATAAAATACGACGAAACGCATTCAGCCGGAAAAAAAAGAATAATTGATTTTGCAAACCGAGTTGATAAATTACAACTAACATAAATTGGGGAGGGGACCATAAAAATTATGTTTCCCTTAATGCGACACAAAATTAGTTGACTAAGCCGATAAAAAATAAGCCGTAGTAATTTGTCTTGCTCGCTAAAACTTGCGAGTGTAATCAAAACGATAGCAAAAATGACTATTTAAAAACGGTTTAATGACATGAAATCATTCATCTGTATATCTTCGCTAGCATATCCCACTCCATCCGAAAACCATAAAAGGCCATACAAACAATAAGAGCTCAGGACTATGTAGCCAACACCACCCAAAAAATCACATCCGATGAATCACCATTCAGTTCCGAAAAGAATGCCACACTTGAACAAACTGATCAAGCAATGCCAAGTTTTGAAAATGAGCGTGAATTCAAATTGAGTTTCAAGCGTGAAATTTCAATAGAAGAAAAGACGCAATTTTGTAAGCTCACATGGTATAATTGTTCTGCACAAAAATCTATTGATCAAAAGATTGAACGCTCGGATTCGCGATAGATCACAAATTTTGGTTTTCAATGGATGAAAAGTGTCTCCTGCCCCACCCCTGAACCGCTTACCCGGTATGGAGGAATGTCTGTAAAATTATTGATATATTAGCCTCAACCAACTCCCAAAAATTGTTACTTCACATAAGCTTTACGTTGAAAAATAACCGAATTTTGGAAAATCAATTAAAAATACATAGAAAAAACTGACAATTTGTTTAATAAAAGCCGACAAGTTAACAAAAGGAACTCATTTTAACTGCGATATAGACATAAGAATAAATCCTCAGGATATATTACATGGGCTATTTAGTCCATTGATTTATACAGGTATGTATGTGATAATTTTGTATGAGATACTTTCATTTGGGATACTTTGTCCAGATCCCTTGAAAAATAGCGTTTAAGATTACTGAAAGCGCTTCAACTATTAGTCTTCCACCGTGTGATAAAAATGAAACAAACTAGACGCTCTTGAAATTTTTTGAAACAAAAATCAGGAATCATCAGCATTTATCAATCTCAACGAGAAGAAACCAACAAGTTCTTCAGTGTCAACTCTTATTTGCTCAAAATTTTTTCGTATAGTTATCTTTTTCGATGTTCTTTGTCAGCCGATCAACCTCAAAGCAAGTAACGATCAAGCTCACACCAATATAACAAGCACCACATTGATCATTGCGAAAAGAAAAATGAAAATAAAAATACCCGCTAAAACACACCCTACACGACAGTTAATTTTCGCTATTCGAGAGAATTCGTAACAATAAATCATTTCAGCAAAAAAACAGCTCAAACTCGCGTTTGAATATCTTTCGCATGGCGATAGATGACCATGTGTATCTTAAATCGGTCTGAGAAGCAAAACAAAACAGAGATCAACTCTCATTAACACTGAGAGAAACTTGTTGTAATACATTCTTGAAATCCAAATACAGCTAAAAAAAAGCTTTAATATGTTAGCACTCTTGATCCTTTACGAGCTTATTTTTGGATAACTAAAATAGAACAAATTAACCCTGAATATCGAGAAGGATAAATTTCATGCCAGAAAAATTTAAAACATGATTGTGATTTTGTCTTTTCACATCGTGATTGTGATTTTGTCTTTTCACATCGTGATTGTGATTTTGACTTTTCATAATTTAACTCCAGAGGTGGACGAAGAAAGTTGGAATGGATGAAATCGATGCACAAAAAAGTTATTATTTCTAGACTCAGTTGACAATCCAGAAATAGTTGCTTCACTTCAATCCACCTCTGCGTGTTGGTAGATGCATCCCCATTAAAAAAGAGTTGGTTGACCAAAACGGGTGTCGTGAATAATTCTAAAGGGGGAAATTTTGGGAGGTGAAAGGGTTGAATACTCAATTTTATCTACTCTAACGCTCGCATTTAGCCTAAAGCGCTGCGAATCAAATCCAGGATTTCTTGAGACTTTTCATTGTAGCTCGCATCAGGATTGAAAAAAATTTCAGTGTGGTAGTCCTTCTTTCAACCACATGTGGCGTTTCTTCGTCGTAGCTGATCTTGCTCATCCAACGAGACTTTTATGATTTGTATGATCTACTTAAGAATCTCCCTCCCCTTTTGAAACCTCATTAAGAATCCCCGCCCGCATGCATTAATTAAATTTTTAGATATTTTCATTCATAAATTATGCCTTCAAAATTTTCATAAAATTATCATAACTTCAATCTTCTCTCATTGCGAGGGTAAAATGTTCGTTGTCTTTCCCCTAAAAACCAGTCCTGGTTCACTTAATTATGTTCTATTGCAACATGGTCAGGTTCTGGTGCTTTATTATACGGAGGAGAGGAGCGACAACACGTGCGTGCTATGGCGTAACCTCTCCATCAAGTTATCTCCCAGGACTCAAAAGTTAACAAGAACCTTTCTCCTGGTTTACATTTGACCAGCATCAGAAAAGCTAGACATTTTAAAAGACGATGATATCAGCAACATTTACAAAAATCAATGAAAGTGAAAAAAGCAATCTACTTACTATATTGTGGTTAGCAGAGAATCAACTGTCGATCAACGCACTAAAATTAAATTCCGGAATAAACAAAATAAATAAATAGGACAGTTTATTTGATTGAAATTTTATTAGAAGGTTTCAGTCACAAAAAAGTAAATTACCATTGATTCAAATGGTTGATTTCAAAGTGTCAACTTCCGCTCACAAAAAAAACAAACCCTGTTTATTCCCAAAGGACGGGGCTTAGCCTAAATGTCACCTTTGAAGAAAAACGAAAGAAATAAATCAGCAGCAGCATATCCCGGATAAAAGCGCACTAATCATAAAAAATGTAACCTTGACAAAAAACAAGCATCATCTATAACTTACCAGAAAAAAAATGCTTTATTACATGGCTTAAAAAAAATAAACTAATTACGTAATTGATTCCAAACCGTACACACTTACCACTTAATACCAGTAGCGGATACAAAAACAGGTGGGGCGGGCATTTGCTTTCCCTCAACAAGTCTACAACGTAACCTTTACATTCATTTTGTGGCGCGCAAAAAAAATGAAACCAATTTTGAGGGGTAGGGAAGGGGGGGAGGTGTGGGAGGGATTTTGGCAAAGACTCGGAAAAACCTGCTTTTCCGCTGAAAACTCGCTAAGGTGAAAAAATTTGAGGATAATCCTAAAATTTCTGCGCCTTAGTCAATTTTCAGCGTTGAAACAGTCTTTTCGAAGCTCCGTTCTCAAAATTAGTATGAAGTGCAACTAAACTTTGACAGAGCTCGGAAAATAAATTCGGTCAACCTAGACAAAGATAGATGATTTTTTCCCATTTCAAAGACCAAATATGCTCATAAAAGTAGGGACTAAATGCGCAGACCTTTGAAATTAAATTACGTATTCAGTATCACAACTTACCTAACGGAACTACAGACAAATATAGATAAATTGCTTGCCCATATCTTTTAGTATCAACAACAAGTGCTAATAAGTGGTCACCAACCATTATAACCAGACTTCATTGCTATCATCAGATGACACGCAAGGCTCACAAGTTTTTGGTTAGATTAATTATGCCAGGTTATTAACAGCCCATTTATCATGGTTCAGACGAGCCAGCTAGCATTACACTGATAATAACTAAAAGTTTCCAGCCGTCTAAATCATGAATAAAAGACTGATATCTCACTCAAACACCATGAAGTGTCTTTGTTGAGCGTGCTTTTGTTTATATGAGAGAAGACAACGGATAGTTTGCTTTTTTCCAATAAAATTCACAAAAAAATTATATGATAGGACATAATTATGATATCATATAAGTGAAATGAATCATACAACATGGATAGGTCATCATGAATAGGTTAATTTTAGAACTTAAAGAAAAAAACTTATATGTATTAAAAATGAATAAACATTCACATAATAACCTCATGGGGGTAACTAAATCCAATAGCACTTAATAGCAGATAAAATTGAAACTTAACTAAGTATCGAAAGTGAGTTTTTCCGTCATTGTTCCGACCAATGAAAATGGGGAGGAACTTCTGTCTTCGGATGTGCTCTAGTTTTTTTCCTTTTTTAAAAATTTCAGCGCAAAATTAGGCACCACGAAAAATCATCGGAATGGGTCGTGTGATATATTGACATAGTAAAATCCTTTCACTCGTGATTCGAACAGTAAAATTTTCATGCGTATAAACAATGAAAAAAAAACATTCTCTGATTCAATCTAAGCACACTTCATACAAATGCAACACATTTCGAGAAAACATTGAACGAAAGGGAAAAACAAAAGGTCCATTTGGTCGCCGTATATTGCCCTAGAGTTTCTGAACGTCTTCGGTAAACAAGTGGTAGACATCATAAAGTTTCGCTCGTTAAATTTAACATTAAAGGATATGTTAACAAATTAACACAGATCGTAAAAAACCAGCCAAACTGCTGCGATTGACACATCAAAATATGCACAGTTACAAGCAGGTTATGGTAAACAGGTTATAAGCAGTAGAAAAAGAATAATAGTCAGAGCGGGATTACTGCGTCTGTTATTGCAGATTATCTGGAAAAGAACAAAAAAACCATTCAAGTAATAATTAAAATAGAGTGAAAGAAAAGTGTTTAAGTTGAATGTAAAACTGAACAGTTTTTAAATTTAAGATCTAACTTGTTTTTACCACTGAAGAAATATAAAGACATTTCATTCTATGAACACAATTACTTACTTGCGATACACTTAATGACTGAAAATCAAAGGGACTCAATTCATTTTCACAAAAAGAATTAAGCAATTAAGAGTCCTGGAAGAGAAAAGAAAAAAACGTTGTAATTTTTGTTTTTTACTTTTAACTTTTTCAGAGAGCTTTTACCAAATCTTCTGATTTTTCTATTATCAGAGAACATTTTTCAAAAAAATCAAATATGAACAATAAGTGTACTGCTAACATTTTTCTAGAGACGAAGACATATGAAAGAATGTTGTGGAAACTGCGAAACCACTTTTTTTGCAAAACTAAGATTGGCTGCAATGCATTGAAACTTGTACAACCAAAAATCAAAACGCCATATTGAATGAGCGATCTGACTTTTGATTAATAATATTTGAACATACCCAGAAGGGGACACATGTCTGATTTTTTCAATATTTCCACAGTTTTTTGGCAATTTAGTTCTGATATAATCAATTTGCGCATCAAAATTTAGATTGAAAGCTATGAACACTTCTTAATAATTCCATGACAATTCTGAAGATAAATTTCTATTCTTATAAAACTAAATTCCATGACAATTCTGAAGATAAAATTCTATTCTGATAAAAACTAGTGTTGTACGAAGCGCTTCTCTTCGTTATATCCAATTCAAATGTTTTCTTCATATTAGGAGATCAACTATTGGTAGAAAACCAATCGGCTACGGAGTTAAAGTAGCTGTTTAGTATGTCAAGATATAATTCGAGACCAATAATTGTACTATCGTCAGCGAAAAAAAAACTTCTGACTTTAAGTTCAAACCTGGAAGATCATTTACATATATGAGAAATAGTGAGGGTGCTAAAAATGAGCCCTGGGGTACTCCGCACGAAACATTTTGATTACTTGAACAAATTAATCATTTGCACATATTGCTTGCTATTTGATAGATAGCTTTGTATGCAATCATAACAGTTATTTGTAACTCCTTAGAATAGAAGCTTCTATATTAGAACTTTGTGGTTAGCTTCTTCAGTTACATTAGAACTTCAGTTACATTAGAACTTCAGTTACATTAGAACTTCTTCAGTTACTTCTGCAAGGGGATCAATTGTACCGTGTTTACTCTCATAACCGAACTGTTTCATATATATGAACTGAAACTTTTCAGAATAGTTGTAAAATTTAAGAAACATCATTGTTTTGAATTTTTACTTATTGACGGAATCAAGGCTAAAGGTCGACAATAAATCATTTTAGCTCAGAAGCTTCTTTATTCATCGGTAGAATTTTTGCTTTCGAGAGCTCTGAGGGGTAAGCAGCTTGTTTCATTGACTCGTTCACAGTTTTTGTCAGTGAGACAGTGAGTGGGTTTTTGTATTGCAGCAAGACTTCGTAAATTTTTTACTCACTTCACCTGCACCAGAAGAAGAAATATTTTGCATATTTGAAATATAAGAGGCTATTGAAAATAATAGAGGCTATGTTTATAAAAAGGCTGTTGAAACTATCTGCCACCAGTTCTAATGACTCTCCCTAAAGACCAATTGTTTATTCATCTTGTCGATATAAAAGCCTATATTAAGTTTAAGAATGGGTAGATTTGTATTGAGTCACCTATACACGTCTTGAATTTATTTATTAGTAACATCACTTTGAAACCATTATCTTCTTCCGATCTTTGAAACCATTATCACTTTGTTTCTGAACTCAGTTTCTGCAAACTATTTGTTCGGTTTTGGCATAAGCTACAATGCATCTTATTTCTTTTGATAATAAAGTAATAAAATCAAATAATTAACCATGGTGGACTGTTTTTTTGACGGCATTCTATCTTGGGAGCAAAAGTATCTTAACCATATTGAAATTTCTCATTAATACAATTAGGCCAAAAAAAACAATGCGACACAAAAATTTAAACAACGGGCGAGGCTGCATTTTGCAAACACATCCAAAAAGACTTTCTACCACAGCGAAACTTCCCTTATGCTGTCAATAAAAAAAATTTTGCGTCCTTTAAAGCTACATTTGGATTACGTATCCTTATTCAAATTGGAATCATTTTGTTGTCTGAGCTACACGTTAAAAGTCAATCGGAAGTTCCGCGTGATATTAAATATCCTCTGGTGATCAAATCGTGTGTCTTCAAACCCCATAACTTTCCAGAAATAGTCGGATGTGAAATATATTTTGCATTTTGAGCTCTGGACAAAAAATATATTTCAAAATGTATAAGAAGCGTGTCAAAAATTGTTTAACATACCTCTACATTTTTCTGAAAATAACACCCCGAATACATGCCGCCAATCAAGCAAAAAAGATTGCTAAAAATCTAGAAAAATTAAACTAAACCAAGAAAGAATAACATAAAAATTAGCGCCTCAGTGTGTTAAGTAGTGTGTTAGTCTGAAATAATATATACTAGTTGAAATGAATGAGCGAGAAAAAAAAAGATAAAACAGAATTTGCTAGCGCGCACGTAACCTGACAGCCTAAGCATGAAGGTAAAGAAATTCGAACGCATTTTTTCAAATATTACTAACAAATCAACGGGCAATAATATGACAATTCATTCGAAACGACGAACCATTTTATTGAAATGAAAATTTTAGCACGCGGGCAAAATAATTTTTCAAACAACTAAAAAAGTTTTTAAAAATGCTTGAGCAAATTATTCAAAAATTAATTTTGCAGTTCGAATAAAAAAGCCTTAGTATAATATACCACCACTTCATTTAAAGTTCTTTGAGAAATGCATGAAATGCATAACAAAACCTCCAGAATTGAAAATTGTTTCTCACGAAAAAATGATAGAAATGATGGTCAACCAAAATAACAGTCATACGAAATATTACTAATGATAAAAACTTAATATATTACAGATACCCTTGCTGATGTGCAAGTAGCACTGGTCGCTGTGCAAGTAGCACAGAATGTTCCGACCACATTCACAAAAAAGGTGTTTTTTGAATCAATTTAGTATTGTTTTTTTTGCGAGGTGTGATGAAAGAAAGAAGTGTTCGAACTAGTAAAACGTAAGTGAATTAGGCGTAATCGACAATAATTGCCTTAGTAAAATCAATAACCAAAACAAATTCTAAGAAGTTATCTAATTCTTTGCAGAACCATGTATTGATTTTTCCGAAAATTTTAACGCCAAGGAAGGGCTAAATGAAGCTTCCAAAACTAGCTTTCCAGGAGTAAAACGAAGTTTTTTACTTTTCAAACAACAATTTTCTCAACTCGCTCGAAATTAGACTCAAACTTAAAATTTTAAACCTTTTTTCTCAAACCAAAAACATTTTTTGAAGTTCTTTAAACGCCATTTGAATCATGGCTGAAAAAGATTTGACGTGATACATGATACAATATTCGACTTAAAGAAAATTAAAGTAAAGAACATTATATACAAATTTCAGAATCAATCTTTTGTATAAAGTGTGACCATTTATAAAAACAACTCCTCAAACAGTCACCATGTTGCAGAGCTTGGTTTTAGCTCCGTTTATTCCATCAGCCTACGGACGTCACTCTACAGCTTCATCTCCCGAGGCTTTATTAAAAAAAAACCCCAAATAGAAGGTTACTTGACCGCTCAAAAACCTTTGAATGAGTAAATCATTAAACCCTGATGACAAATTTCATATTTCCCTTCTGCCTGATCTGCCTGAAAAATTTGCAGCATAGTCTTTCGGGGATAATCATCTTAACACTATATCTAATTTTTGTCCAAGTGACTCACCCAGCCCGATACTTTTGCCGTCGAATTCGTTTATATGCAAGCCAGAATTAAAAAGCCTTTTATTTTACCTTTTTTTATCTTTAACTTCCACAAAAAACACAACCTCAAACTCTCCCCTGAAAATGACCTGTCACTTTCTTCTACTCGAGTCCAATGAGACCGCAAATTTCGCGAACACGCTTTTGACTCAGAACACGCTTTTGAAACTCAATTAAAATCCCAGAATATTTGTAAAACTTAAACTTTGTAAAAAAATTACCATAGCAAACAAAATGCACCAACTTACGTGAAAGTCTGACGATCTAAGGCAAATAACAATTATCCAAACTCTACTGGGAAATTAATGCGCCTTATTTAGGAAATGATATCAGTCTGCTGCAAAAAACATATGATTTTTTCAATAAAATGCTGTCTCAGCAGGCCAATATAGCCTAACAATTATAGCTGGACTGGTATAGGTTATCTGAACTTCATATGATTAGGAACATCACATAGCAAAGAGGTAGGGAAAACAAAAATGAACGTCGGTTAATTTCCTCGGAAATTCAATTCGACAGATAGATTAGACATGTTGCCGATTCAGATGCCCTGCAAACTTAAGTGTGCCGCGGATCTACATGACTAGCTGTCACGGAACAAACTGACAGGCATCAATTGCAAGAATTCAAACTGGTTTTAGGCTAAAGACAAAATAGGCCCCCTGTCTCTACACAAGTCATTTAGCCCTTATAAATTATTAAACCAATGAAACTGAAAATTTTCAATTGCGATTAATAGAATTAAAAAGTTTTCGAAAGAAACAAGATTAATTTCGTAACTTTTGAATTGATCAATTAACATGAATTACAAAAAAACTTTATTGCTGAAAATAACAGAAAACATTAACCGCTATTCCAGTCATCGTCAGTTTTTTTTTTTTTCGGAAGGCACAAAGGAAAATGAAATGAAAGGCTTGATGTCAATTGCCTCAATTTCAGGCCAAGAAAAAAATCTTAAATTAAGCATGTCCTGGGAGCTATTACCATTTATAGGGTCAGTTTCACTCTCGTTGTTTGTCATGTACCAAGAGTCAAAAATTTAAATTTATTTATTATTTAGCACATGTCAACAAAACGCAGTCATTTTCAAAAAAAAAAAAAATTAGATGCAAGCAATAATTAAAGCACAAAACAACCATCGTGCCGTTATCAACAAAGGGGTCACTACTTGACAATATCTCGTTTGAAGCTTGCATTTTGACTTTTTCCTGCAATTTTGACTTTTTCGAAGTCTCATTGTCAGACTGCAATATAAAAAAATCAGATCCATCAAGCTACTTTCGGTTTTCGTCAAAAAGTACTTCCCTATCTCGAATTTAAGGTTTCCCCAACTCTCACATTTTTAAGGTTATTGTTCCGACTTTCGATACGAAAGTAACGGAATATTTGTGCTCGGGGTGGGTTTTTTTTTCTTCAGACAAATTTCGACTTTTTAACTAGCCTTTTTTGACGGAATTTTTTTTTTATATCATTCAAACGGTATTCTTGTCTTGAGCTTACATTTAAAAAGATATTTTACCTGTGATCTTTTTCGTAAAGTTATGGGGGTTTAAAGATTGCCATTTTGGGACAATTAACGCGCAATATATTTCGCGCTATTAACTCGTAAGCGGAGATTAAATCCATCTTAAAAATCGTTCAAAATTGGTTAAAAGAAGCTTATTTGCCATAATCGATTTGTTAGAATGAGCGAAATCTATTCTTTTGTATTTAATATGGCGTATGGGAGCATTTTACCAGATGCATTTTTCAGTACGATGCAAAACTTGGTTTTATAACAGAGCACAAAATGTGCTTGCTTCGTTCTGGATTTCCTAGACACATATTTTACATGTGTTAGTAGTTTTGTAGCTGGATTACAGAAATAAACGTTGCCTGAACGAAATTCTGACAAAAATTTGTTGTTATGGAATCCAGTGCTTAGTGCTTAATCATTTTTTGTTTTTCGACTAAGTCAACAATCGTTTGAGAAACTCGATTTTTGCGGAAATAAGAGACAATGTCTGTGGAAATCAAAACAATACCAAAGTAACCGAGTGTGGCGTCGTTATGTTTGCTTCGGACGAAATACGAGAGCGACAACTTTTTAGCCCTATTTTTAATAATAACTTTTTTGTTTTTTCACCATGGGATTCAAAAATTGCCAAATTTAATTAATTCATTCGGTAGTTTCAGTTCAACTAGCATGCATTTATAACATACCTTTTAGTTCTACGTTATTTTTCCTAAAAACACCTGAGGTTGATTTTCAGGGAGTTAAACGAACCTGTTGGCTGTCGGGATTTGCTGTTAAATCAGCAGTTTTGCTGAAATCTTCGGAACAACGTCAGAAAACGTCTTCGCAGGTGCTTTTCGAGAGCTGCTAAAAACTACGACTTGGTTATCCAAAAACAAATGTCTTTTGCGCAAAAAAATTCAGCTTCTTATTTTTTCTACACAGAGGCGATACAACGCAATCATTTGAAAAGCCTGAGCAGAATTGGCCGAGTGGGTAAGACGCACGGCCTTTAACACAAAAGTCGTGGGTTCGAATGCCGCTTCGGTCATGGTTGAAAGGGCCATAGTGTCATCCGCCTCCTCAAGGAAAAAATCGCACAGCCACTTCTTTCGATTGAAAGTAGATTTGATAGGGTAGTTTATATGAAAACTCAAAAAGTTTCTAAAAAATGGTCTAAGTACAAAAAATTGTGTTTCCGAAATCCGTAATTTTTTTCTGCTAAAAGCAGGCCGTGACGGTAAAGTAGAGAAGATTTCCAAAATCGGGTTTCTTGATTGAGCACTTAAGCTGAGAATTAGCACGGTAGTCTTCGAGTAAAGTGAAAAAACTTCCAAAAAACGGGCAATGTTTCCAAACATTCACGAGTTTGAAGGCCATAACTTTTTGTTAAAAGAAACTAGGCGTAGCAAATTAACAAAATGCAAGCTTCCAACAACCTGTTGTGTCGATTAAACCTATGATATCAGCTTCGGCAGAATATTTATCGAGAAAAGTTCAAGAAACGGTCAACAAATTAGAAAGTTGACATTTCCGAGAAATATAGCTTTTTGTTTAAAAACAATTGGGCGCAGCCGCTTAAGCAGACCAGTAATTTCGATTGAACCCAAAAACACGAGTTTGGCTGAGTAGTTCTCGAGAAAAGTCAAAAAATCAAAAATTTGACTATTCCGAGGGCCATAATTTTAGGTGTAAAAAGTTTGGGCGTAGTCGCTTATGAGGGGAGCGTTCTATTCCGTTCTAAATCCATTCAGATTTGGTGGCTTAATTTGTGAGAGAACGAAAAAATCAAAAAAAAATCGGTCAACTAAAGAGACCAGGGGAGTATGCAGGCACACAAAATGTAGGTGGTCTTTCTATGGATACCTTTTTTTGAAAATTGGTAGAAGGGTTTTTGAGAAAAAAAATACTTAGTTAAACTAGTTGTTAACCCCCCAAAAAAATCTACATTCAGATTTGATAACGCATGCTATTCGCAAGGGTAATAAATTGATTAACGAACGCCTCTTGATAATTATTTTTGATGTTCTAAGCTGCAATTAATCGAGTCAGCCTGAACAAGAAAACAATTTTTGGCAATTTTTCGTGAACGACCTTTAGATAACTCAAACTGCAACTTCACAAGGGGAGAGAAACAGGAATAGAGCCAAAATTGCTATCCAGAATTAATTCAGCGGGGTAAGAAACGGGGGAGGAAATTGACGAAAACTACTCACGACTCCATTATGACCTCTTAACACTACTCAGGGCTATTTATGAAATGCAAGATACTTACCGTTTCGACTTCTCAGATGACGATGAATAGTTACCCTTATTGGCTTTCTACTTTTCTGAGTAAAAGCTAAAAATCAATTAGTCTAGCATTAACGGATAAATTAGCGTCAAAACAACTCAAACATCTTATCTTTTAAGCTCTAATCTTTTAAATGGACTCTTTGTACATATTAGGAAAGGCTTTGTTGCCAATTCTGGACTCCAAACTCGCACATCCTTGAAACCTTTGTTTCTCGCAACGAAATTATCAAGCATCTATGAAGATGGTATTTTTTCACCGCGAAATCAAAAAACTTCAAAACTAATTTGCCACTTTCCTGTGATTGATGAGGCATTCTTATTATTGAAGTATTTGTAAATAATGACAACAAGGAATATCTACGCTCATTCCATTTATTTTTAAAAGTGATGGTTTTTGTAACCCTCCCCATTTGTTGGAATACGACTTGGAAGAATTGTTGATCAACAAATATATATTTTTGGCTGAATGAATTAGAGGCATTATATTTAAGCATTAAGTTAGACACAAAAAACAGAGAAGCACGTTGTATGAATGCATGAGAAATTAAGTTCCCAAGAAAACTCTCAAATAAATTACTCTTTTTGTTAAAATATGTTCATCCGCCAAACGTATGGCAGGATGGCACAACTGATATTCGGCTGAATTAATTCATCAAAATTGCATGTTCGAAGCTTTTCAGTAATGAGTTGAATGGTAGTCAGGAGTCAATAATTTTTAAATATATGTAGCGTGCTTAAGGGTGAGGGGGTTGGAATCCGTCAATTTCAGTTGCCGAAATTTCATCAATTCCCGAAAACAAAACTTAGGTCAAAACCGTCCAGAAATTGCTGGCGCGCTAAAAATATATATATAGTTGCAGCAGCGCTTTAAATTCATGGCTGGCTTAAAAAAGGTCGATACAATTTTTCGAATCTATTTCTAACAATTTTTTTCTGTAATAGATATGCATTTAATCTTTGAAGTTTCATCGGGAAAAACAATTTTGCCGCAATATTTATTCAACCTTGCAGCCTTTACTTTTCACCGTTTATTTAATATTTCGTCACAGCTCCATTTTGGTTAATAAAAAACCTGCCGTGCAGTCAAAACCTAGCAACTCGGCCAATAAGTAACTGCGGCGCTGTCCCAACTTTCTGTTTCTCTCAATAAATACTTGCAGCGCCGAAGATTGCAATTCTGGGGTTTCGACAGAGCTCGAAAAATTCAAAATAACTGGCCTAAAAATGTCCATAATTTTTTAAAAAATAAGTTTGAAACCTTACTCAAATTATTTACTTATCTGAGTTATAGATTTAACCTGAGAAGTTTCAACGCAAAATTAATTTTGCAGCAATGTTATTTCTGCTATTACGCTTCAAGTTGGAGGGATTCGAAAGTAAAATAATCAAGAAAATGAAACTAAACACCGCCAAGTTAAAAACCAAACATGTCATAGTCAATAAGGACTTCCACAAAAAAACACAAGGCCGAAAATCTGACACATCTTGCATTGCCTTAAAAGCTAACACCCCCAGTTAAAAGGTAAACCGACGCCTTAACAGAACAATCATTACAGCAATTGATTATGAAGATAGGAAATGGGTTGCTGTAACTTTTGCAAGCCTTCATCGGGAGCCAAAGCTGCCTACACCTTAATTGTATTGAGCATCCTCAATTACTGAAAACTGATACCTTCAACTTCCGTTCTTTTTTGACGTAAAAATTTCAATCTTTTTTATTTTACCATTGATAAATTAACATCCTTTTTTAAAAGAGGTAAGCTTGAGCGTGAGAGTAATATACACACCACAGCTATTTTGAAAGATGCATTGAATAGAATTTCATGAGAAAATGATAGTTTGCTTAACATATCTAGAGTGCAACCCACAGCAGAGATGGCTTTAAAAGTGGGCATAGAGATATTGCTTACAATGAAAAACGGGGACCGATTTTTTAGCAGACCAATTTTTCAGCATACAAAGTGAGAAGAGTATGTTTTTGCTCTTTCACACATGTTCTCTCACGACAAGGCATGAAAGAAAAATGAAATAATAGAACGCATGCTAGAAAAAAGATATCATTTGCATAGTTTCGCGCACTTTTCCGGGCTCTTTCAGAGTTTTCCGGGCTCTTTCAGAATTTTCCGGGCTCTTTCACAATTTTCCGGGCTCTTTCAGAATTTACCGGCATCTTTCCCTCAGAAAGAGCAAAAACAGTTAGAACTTAGTTGAAGATGGCCTCGGGCATCTTTCAATTATGTTCTAACTACTACAAAATGAATCTTTTAGCATACCAACTTAATAAATTGCCATATGATTGATTGATAGACTGCAAAAGACGCTGAGTGACCCTAGCACTTTCGATTGTGGAGTTTGACTTCCTTTAAAAACTAACTGAACTGAACTGAAAAAAAAACGCTAAAAATTCAATTGTACAAAATGTGCACAAAATGTAAATAAATTTCCTGAAAAATATCAGACTTAGATAAGTGTTCTCATTGAAGTAAATAACACATCGAGCGTTGAATCCCGGCCATAACCAAGAAAATAGTGAAGAACAATACTAAAAATTAATGAAAACTATGAAGACAGTCACAAAATTTGTAGCTATAACCATAGAAAATAGACACCAAAAAATAGATTGAACCTTTTTAAAAACTTCGAAAATCATGTCCTAAATAATTATGTTTCAACAAATAGAGTTATGGCTCGTGATAAGTTTCAAAATTGAACCCTGAAAAACTTTTATTCATTGCAATAAACACTAGCTATTCGCAAATGCAAACAAAAAAGCAACCTCAACGATTATTGAAAAATTAATGAAAAAATAATTTGAATGCACACCAAAAATAACGTGTTCGGCATGTTTAACAATCTATGAAAATCGCAGAAGGCTGTTTAAGTAACACAGGGAGGGATTAAGTGGGAGGGTGGCGGACGCCCCCCCCCCCCCCTCCACGTGGATTCGACCCCCTGCCGGCCCAAATGGTCCCCCTTTGTACTATTTTGAGATATCCATTTTTGGTGACAGTCCTTAAAAATTTTATAAAGGCGCCTTTGGCACCAATATTACTAATTTTGAGGGAGGAGCGCGCGCCGAAAAAGAGCAATTTGTTGGTCAAAACTTTCCAAAAAGTGCCTAAAAACGTGCAAAAAGTGCCCAAAAATACCTCGGCCATTGAGCCGACAAAAATCATTCGCTTTCAGGAAGCCAAAAAATCATTAGATTATAATGCAAAAGAAAAATTCCTGCGCTTCTTTGATAATTACGGCGTGCGATATGTCGTTCAGTTTCCTCATAGTAGGTCATTTGAATGATACATTACATGTTTTGGTACTTCGGAGGACGTAACATCTAGGAGTCTTAAGAATCACACGCAGAAAACTGAACATATCAAATAAATTCTACAAAAGCTTTAACCTCAATTAAATGCATCTTTACAAATGCTAGATACAGCACTCGGAAATGCTGAAAGTTTCCACAGCCTTCAAGCACAGTCCATCCCTTGGAAAGCCGACAAAAACTAAGCACATACGATAACCCGACAACTCCTAGATGATAAAAAAAACAAGTTCCCGTCGGGACTCAGACCCTAGACCTTAGGTTCCCATGGCAAACACTTTACCGCTAGACCAAATAGGACTCCAAAAAGGAATTTGGAGATTACTGCGGCTTCAAAATACAGCTAAATTATTTTCTTATAAATTTAAAAAAAAACATGTCAACGGGGAAAAAGTCTAGTGTCATAAAAGTGGCAAAAAATCTTGACATCTAATTAAGTGAATTGCGTTGAATCAGGGAGTTGACTGGCCGTACAAAGCTACGCCCGCAATTATGCTCGTAAAATAACAAAATTTTAACGCCAAGGAAGGGCTAAATGAAGCTTCCAAAACTAGCTTTCCAGGAGTAAAACGAAGTTTTTTACTTTTCAAACAACAATTTTCTCAACTCGCTCGAAATTAGACTCAAACTTAAAATTTTAAACCTTTTTTCTCAAACCAAAAACATTTTTTGAAGTTCTTTAAACGCCATTTGAATCATGGCTGAAAAAGATTTGACGTGATACATGATACAATATTCGACTTAAAGAAAATTAAAGTAAAGAACATTATATACAAATTTCAGAATCAATCTTTTGTATAAAGTGTGACCATTTATAAAAACAACTCCTCAAACAGTCACCATGTTGCAGAGCTTGGTTTTAGCTCCGTTTATTCCATCAGCCTACGGACGTCACTCTACAGCTTCATCTCCCGAGGCTTTATTAAAAAAAAACCCCAAATAGAAGGTTACTTGACCGCTCAAAAACCTTTGAATGAGTAAATCATTAAACCCTGATGACAAATTTCATATTTCCCTTCTGCCTGATCTGCCTGAAAAATTTGCAGCATAGTCTTTCGGGGATAATCATCTTAACACTATATCTAATTTTTGTCCAAGTGACTCACCCAGCCCGATACTTTTGCCGTCGAATTCGTTTATATGCAAGCCAGAATTAAAAAGCCTTTTATTTTACCTTTTTTTATCTTTAACTTCCACAAAAAACACAACCTCAAACTCTCCCCTGAAAATGACCTGTCACTTTCTTCTACTCGAGTCCAATGAGACCGCAAATTTCGCGAACACGCTTTTGACTCAGAACACGCTTTTGAAACTCAATTAAAATCCCAGAATATTTGTAAAACTTAAACTTTGTAAAAAAATTACCATAGCAAACAAAATGCACCAACTTACGTGAAAGTCTGACGATCTAAGGCAAATAACAATTATCCAAACTCTACTGGGAAATTAATGCGCCTTATTTAGGAAATGATATCAGTCTGCTGCAAAAAACATATGATTTTTTCAATAAAATGCTGTCTCAGCAGGCCAATATAGCCTAACAATTATAGCTGGACTGGTATAGGTTATCTGAACTTCATATGATTAGGAACATCACATAGCAAAGAGGTAGGGAAAACAAAAATGAACGTCGGTTAATTTCCTCGGAAATTCAATTCGACAGATAGATTAGACATGTTGCCGATTCAGATGCCCTGCAAACTTAAGTGTGCCGCGGATCTACATGACTAGCTGTCACGGAACAAACTGACAGGCATCAATTGCAAGAATTCAAACTGGTTTTAGGCTAAAGACAAAATAGGCCCCCTGTCTCTACACAAGTCATTTAGCCCTTATAAATTATTAAACCAATGAAACTGAAAATTTTCAATTGCGATTAATAGAATTAAAAAGTTTTCGAAAGAAACAAGATTAATTTCGTAACTTTTGAATTGATCAATTAACATGAATTACAAAAAAACTTTATTGCTGAAAATAACAGAAAACATTAACCGCTATTCCAGTCATCGTCAGTTTTTTTTTTTCGGAAGGCACAAAGGAAAATGAAATGAAAGGCTTGATGTCAATTGCCTCAATTTCAGGCCAAGAAAAAAATCTTAAATTAAGCATGTCCTGGGAGCTATTACCATTTATAGGGTCAGTTTCACTCTCGTTGTTTGTCATGTACCAAGAGTCAAAAATTTAAATTTATTTATTATTTAGCACATGTCAACAAAACGCAGTCATTTTCAAAAAAAAAAAAAATTAGATGCAAGCAATAATTAAAGCACAAAACAACCATCGTGCCGTTATCAACAAAGGGGTCACTACTTGACAATATCTCGTTTGAAGCTTGCATTTTGACTTTTTCCTGCAATTTTGACTTTTTCGAAGTCTCATTGTCAGACTGCAATATAAAAAAATCAGATCCATCAAGCTACTTTCGGTTTTCGTCAAAAAGTACTTCCCTATCTCGAATTTAAGGTTTCCCCAACTCTCACATTTTTAAGGTTATTGTTCCGACTTTCGATACGAAAGTAACGGAATATTTGTGCTCGGGGTGGGTTTTTTTTTCTTCAGACAAATTTCGACTTTTTAACTAGCCTTTTTTGACGGAATTTTTTTTTATATCATTCAAACGGTATTCTTGTCTTGAGCTTACATTTAAAAAGATATTTTACCTGTGATCTTTTTCGTAAAGTTATGGGGGTTTAAAGATTGCCATTTTGGGACAATTAACGCGCAATATATTTCGCGCTATTAACTCGTAAGCGGAGATTAAATCCATCTTAAAAATCGTTCAAAATTGGTTAAAAGAAGCTTATTTGCCATAATCGATTTGTTAGAATGAGCGAAATCTATTCTTTTGTATTTAATATGGCGTATGGGAGCATTTTACCAGATGCATTTTTCAGTACGATGCAAAACTTGGTTTTATAACAGAGCACAAAATGTGCTTGCTTCGTTCTGGATTTCCTAGACACATATTTTACATGTGTTAGTAGTTTTGTAGCTGGATTACAGAAATAAACGTTGCCTGAACGAAATTCTGACAAAAATTTGTTGTTATGGAATCCAGTGCTTAGTGCTTAATCATTTTTTGTTTTTCGACTAAGTCAACAATCGTTTGAGAAACTCGATTTTTGCGGAAATAAGAGACAATGTCTGTGGA